TCACTCCTCACTCCGGCTTTATTTATAAATAAAACCAGAGGAAATGAGCATCAGCAAGTGAATGAAGCTTATTTAGGCTAAATAACTTATTTACATTAATTTCTTCTAATTCTGTATAAAATAACCAAATGATCCGGTACCTTGATATCATTGTCAATGCCTCCAGACAGGATCTGATCACTGGTGTCATTAAACGTCACGGCCAGAACCTGGTAGGTGTTCTGGAAAGTGTGGATGGCCCCCTTCTTGCGGACGTCCCACAGCTGTACAGCAGAAAAACAGAGTGGAGAAAAACAAAGCTCATTATCCGACTTTACCTGGTTCAAGCTGCAAAATTTAAGAGAATCAAAACTCATCGCGCCACACGTGTGAATTTCGTGGTCTTTTTTGGTCAAAAAGAGCTTGAAGAGAAAGGGTGCTGAATCTCTGTATGGTGTGAATCAACAGATCCAGAATAAACATACAGGACTGTCTCAGAAAATTAGAATACTGTATTGTGATAAAGTTATTTATTTTCTGTAATGCAATTAAAAAACATGAAATGTCATACATTCTGGATTCATTATAAAATCAACTGAAATATCTCAAGCCTTTTATTGTTTTAATATCGCTGATTATGGCTTACATTTTAAGAAACCCAAACCCCTGTAATCCTGTAAATCCCTTTAGATCGTGCTCTACCTTGATGGTCCCGTCGTCGCTGCCCGTGCAGACCAGCTGCGGCCCCCGGCGAGCCGGGTAGCAGGTGTTAACGAAGGAGGTGTGGCCCTTCAGACGCTTCATCCTCTCGCCCGTCTCACTGTCCCAGACTCCCACCGTCTTGTCTGTGCTCGCTGAAAACAGCACGCTGAAACCCAGAGAAATAGCCACACGTCACATGGACTCTGAGTGAGGAGTTTGAAGAGACTAAATGCTCCCCTGAAGAAGACTAGCTGCCCTCCAGCCTCACCTGCCGTCTGTGTTGTAGTGCAGCTCCATCACGGCTCCGCTGTGGCCCTTCAGGGTGGCATAGTTCTCACAGTCCCCGTAAACGTTCCACATCACTGCACAGCAGAAACATTCAAAGTGTTTCACTCCACGTTCGCTCATGAATATTCCTATCACAGGTAGAAACAGGGAAACGTTCGGCCTGTTGGGAGCTTACAGATCAGCCTGTCGAATCCCGAGGAGGCCAAGGTGGCTCCGTTGGGGTGAAACTTGCAGCAGTAGACTTCGCCCTCGTGGCCAGACATCAACATAATGGGGGCCTGCAGGCTGGAGGTGCGCGGTGGGCCCTGCAGGAGAGCCAAGGGTCAACACAGACACAGGCAGCTGACATACTGACAGGACAAACAAACCTAGAGACTTATAAATTGAGTCTTGGAGTCTGTGGAGCGTGATTTCTACATTTAGAGATTCCCGTATTAGCTGTAAGTCTAATTCATATAGGTGTGTGTTTATATGCTTATCAGTTTGCTAAAGATCCTTATTCCTGATGTGGTGTTCACATGAATCAGAAGAAAATCATGTGGATGTACTGCTAGTTAGTTCTTAATGTCAGAATACCTCAGTTAGCACATTCATGTCTCTTTAATCATGTTTCTTAACATAAGTAGATGTTAGCATAACACATTAGCAAACATATTGGTGCACAAATCAACACAATGAGTATTAGGGTCAGGCATAGATATCCCACCTCACAATTACAATGAAATTTGCAACACGGAATAACAAAGTCTAACCCAAACTGAACATTGCTGGGTAGGAAGTAAACACACCAATCTGATTTTCCTTTTTATAATTTTCCTGTTTCCAGTCTAGCTATACATTCTGACAGATTTACACATTTTAAACCATTCCCAGCTCGGCTAATACGCCTAAAACCAGCCGGGATAGTGTACTTTAGCGTTTCGTGCATCTAACGGAAAGTTCCAACCGTCCCCGGTGGCTTTTGGGTGTCCGTGTTCGTACCGAAGCCACGAGCTGTTGGGACTGAGCCGCCGCCACCAGCTCCGTCCGCGGCCGCTTCATGGCGGAGGGAACCAGCGCCATGTCCCCGGGTCTCTTCTTAGGCTCAATCATCCCGGCTCAGAACACAAAAAGTGGATATAACTTCAAAACAACTTAAAAATGAATGGACGTGTTTCACTAAAGACGTTGAAAAAAACGCAGATTCAACGAAGAAGAACGACTGAATTACTTCCGGTCGGTCCAATGCGCATGATTGGTTAAAATTAGTTCCGGCTGCGATGATTGGTTGTTTACTTTGGTGTCGTCACATTAGTACCGGATGTAAAACAACGTTAGCTCCGCTCGCGCAAACGGTAGGCTTTACATGATGTTGTTTCCCGGAATTATTGTCATATTGGGAAAAGTTAGTCCAATTACGACGTTACTTTCAAATTGAACCGCGGAGAGAGTGATATGATTCCGTGTTAATTGTGTGTTTACCCGCACCGAATAAGCTGAATAATGGCGTTACGTTAGTTTTAGCAGCGCTGTTTTCATTGATTTCTCTGATGCTGCACCAAAGCGTGAATGTGTCGTTTTGTGTTGATTCATGCAGGATAAATGGTACTCTTGACTTTCATACCAATCAAGCCCAGTAACTCTCAGATGTGACGTTTGTAAATAAAGGGGTGATTTAAAAATGTGATGCAATGACAAGAAAACCACTAAACAAGTGCAAATAGTAGTAATGATTAGAAAATAAACAAAAATAATTTCCTTCGTACCGATACTGATTTAGTTTGTTTATACCTTTCATTCTAACTTCATTCAAAGTACTCCAGTTATTCATCAGAAATATTTTTTGTATTGTAAATGCACAAACGTTGTCTATTTTATTTAAAATAACCAACAGTGGAAGTCTTTTTTTTCTTTCAACAGATATATTTGTTAGATAACGGTGTTTTACACTTTAAAGGCCTCATTTCAATTTTGGGGAATTAAATGGTAAACCAGGATCAGACAAATCTCTCTCATCTTCCAGCTGATATCCAGTGAGCCCAAATAAATATTACAAGGTGACTCAGATTTATTTATGTATTGCTGGAAATTCAGTCCTGATTATGTGCTTTTAAAAACAATTTTCATCACATACATATTAAAACATGTTTTTCAACTTTTCTACCAGATCTGCTTGTTTTCCCCTGTGACCCAGCTCAGTCTAGACGATGTCTGACCGGGATCATTCAGGCCGAGAGCCGGTCGGACTGGATGGTCTGCCCCCTCTGTACAGCATCGCTAAGGGGGAGGTGGTGTCTGTGCAGACCTACGGGGCCTTCGTTCGACTGCCAGGTTACAAGAAGCAAGGTGGGTCGAGAGTTTCAAAACGGCAAATACATATAGAGACAACAGAACCAAAGTTGGCGGCATTAACCATCATGATATTAAGAAATAAAGCAGCAACATAATAAGATGAGTCACGGAAAGTTTCAGAATAAGAATGATGGAAACACAACATTAATAGCATAATGACAACTGGTCCTGGACTACACAATCTAGGACCCTAAATAAAACACCTGTCAGTCTGTAGCTGTGCCTCCTGAGATTCAACAAGATAAATAATATCCAGGCAGAAAGGTTCTGCTCAATTTCAGGACTTTTATTCTATTATGGGAATATGTCGATTGTCAGTCTTTGTCTTTTGTGGTCAGTTTTTTTTAATAAACAGTGAGTGGTGGTGGAAGAAATCCAAGGCATCCAGAGAGAAGTAAAGGAGTTAGAGCTGAGGCGGGGTCATGAAGAAGTGGGACAGATTGATGAAGTGGGATGTCTCACATCTATATTTACTCTAAGTTACCTTTCTGATAATTAAGGATGATTTATTGTAGCTGAGGACCAGTCGTCCTTGACCTACATGTGGAGTGAAGCTGCAGTTTGTAGTTGTCACCACCAGAGGGAAACCTGAGCCAAGTTTGGCTCCAGTCAGGCTCAGTTGCCTGTGAAGAGGGACCATGAGTTTATTTCAAATCTAATGTAGTAAACATTTTTAAAGCTTCTGAGCAACGGAGGGTGGTACCACTTAATTTTTAATCCTTGCTTTTTAACAAAACAAGTTAAATTGGAATGTTTCAATCCTTAAACAGCGGTTTCTTCTCATCTTTCTTTGTCGTGCAGGTTTGGTCCATGTGAGTGAGATGTCCGCCTCCAGGGTGGAGAGTGCCTCTGAGATTGTAGACATTGGGGAGCAAGTTTGGATCAAAGTAATCGGCCGAGAGGTAAAGCATCCCAACAGGCCGCAGCACATGGGACGGGGTTTGAAGTTGCCGGGGTGATGACTCCTCTGTCCTCTGCATCAGATCCAGGGCGACAAAATCAAATTGTCCTTCTCCATGAAGGCGGTCAACCAGGGAACCGGGCGCGACCTGGACCCCAACAACGTGATGGCAGAGTAGGTGCTGACGGGGTTCGGGCTTCGGCCGTTTGCGTCTTATTAACAACCTGTGTGCGCGTCCATAGGCAGGACGCGAGGAGGAGGAGGCAGTTCAGAGACCAGGGCAGTAACAGGATCACACTGGAGGCCGTGCTCAACACGACGTGCTCAAAATGTGGCTGCAAAGGTACGACGTGACTTCAAATCAACGGGGAACGAACAGAGAACAAAGATGCCGTTTGTCTAGCAGCTCATTCTGCTTGTTGAATGCCTGTAAATCACTTTTTACAACAGCTTCTGATAAGAAAATCGCTGCTTTCAGGTCATTTTACGAAGGACTGTTTCTCGGCCCCGGGGCTGCAGTACGCTCTTCTGCCTGAAGAGGGCGAACAGGAGCCACAGCAACAGACGTCCACGGTCACACCACAGCCGGAGTCAGACAAGAAGAAGAAAAAGAAGGTGAAAATGCACAGATATAAAACCTACAAGGCTCCTGTTCCTCTTCCCTGTCGTCTTCTTTCTAAAGCTCTCCTCCTCTTCAGCTCAGTCTTGTGATCCCACGTCTATCGTTGTGAGAACAGGTTGATTTTCTGCTGACTTGACACAAAAGGGATGACTGTGTCTTTAGAGGAACTGGCACAGTGGTCAGCCTTTTTCCATAAATCAGCAGCATGAGTTTACAAAGCCTCTTTTATATCTACATGTTTATCTTTCCCGCCCACGATTCAGGAAAAGAAAATGAAGAAGAAGAAGAAGAGGGAAAGGAAGGAGTCGGAGAGCAGCAGCAGCGGCGAGTGCAAACCCAAGAGGAGGCGGCGGGACAGCTCTGAGAGGGACGATAAGGACAAGAAGAAGAAACACAAGAAACACAAATCCCACAGACACAGCTGACCGCTGACGACAGACACACCACGCAGCCGCCACACAAGTGCAGACAGGAAACCCACAAAGGGCCAGACTCTTAGCTTTTCTACTCATTATCACCCATAAACACACAGCAGTTTTTCCTCTCGCGGTCAATTTATCAGAAATCAGTTCCTGTATGAAGATAAATCCCCCCTTGCCCTTTAGTAACCCCTGCCCCCCCCCCAACAGAGGCACGTCTCATGTAATCAAATATGTGCAAGCAATATGGTGGCCCCCTTTCGAAAGGCATTGTTTACGGCTATCTGGTTTCGGACGCTCTGGGAAATCCATTAAGGAGACACAAGGGCTTCAGGCCCACGCCGACTCGCGAGGGAAATATTAAAGACGCAAACAGGAAATGTAAGGCCGCGCGGCAGGAACCTCGTCGTGGGGCAACTTCCTGCGTTTGTGCACCTTGTGTTGTGGATTTACGTGTAAATGTCATCGCACATGCATGCGTGTGTGGGACCCCTCGCAGCCCTCCTCCCGCACATGTCGCCTGCTAACTCCATTAAAGCTGCTTTTTGTCTGCACCGGTAGCGGAACGCCTCTCGGTGTCTTTGTTCAAGGACCAGGAAGTCGTAACGGGGCCGTTAGTCTGACCCTTCTGGGGTCACGGGGAGTTAATGTTCGGAAGCCGCTCGGCTGAGGTCTCACGACACGCCTGGAAACCTCGTTTTGGGCGACTGGAGATTAAATCCGTTAAGTTTACGTCACCTGGATTATTGCACACCTGTATGGTTCTCCACACCTCAAGATCAAAAGGAAGATTACAAATCAGTCAGAATCAGAATCAGAAATACTTTAATAATCCCAGAGGGAAGTTATTTTTGTCACCAACTCCAGACATACAACAGCATATACATAAATACATGTCTATATATTTTTTAAAAATATATATATATATATATATATATATATATATATATATTTAAATTTGATGTTGTAAACATATATATACACACAACATTTTTCACAAACTGTCCAGAACGGAGCAGCCAGGTTGCTTTTACATTGTTCCAGAATAACAAAAACCATCAGGATCCACAGTCAAGTCTCCTGGTTAATAGTGGAGAACATGTTTCTTATATCACCAAATTGTCAGATGTGATGAGGTTCATTCTTATGTGACTAATGGTGGTCAGATGATGTCACCATGTCCAAAATCAAACGCCTTAAAGACAACAGTTATTTATCCTGCCATCCGTTATTGGAAAAATCGCCCACTGAATAGACTAAACTGAATAGTAAAGTATCTTTTAATTATTACTTAAGAATGCACTATTTAGATTTGGGAGTAGTTAATTAACATTAACAGTTTGGACGTGAGAATTAATGTAATAGAAATGAATGTAAACACTTATTCAGAATGATTTTCTGATTACATCTATAATAATGTCCACAGTGTTTCCTTTTTAAGTCATTTTTTATTTGTCCTGTGGACCCCAGGAAGACGAATCGTCCCACTTTTGGTGGCAGCTAACGGGGATCTTTAACAATAACAGTCCGGGACACATGAGCCTCCGGTTTGATCCCAGATAAACGAGGCTCAGAGAAATAAACGTGTTTCTGCTGCCGCACTGACTCAGGTTCAGGTTCTTGTTGTGTAAAGACTTCTGTCTTTCTCTTTCTTTATCAGACGAGAATATAACAAGTTTGAACAGCCATGTTACTGATCCTTTGTACTGTTCCACTGAACAAAAATAGCAGCGTCAGCTCCGGCCGGTCGATGTCTTTTACTTGATTTCTATAAAGAGGAACCTGCGTATCACTCTGACTCCTCAGGGCAGAAAAAAACGGTCACGTGCTTCCACTTTAAGACAAAATTAGCTTAAATTTGTGTTAAATCATTGTGAAAAACAGTTTAAGCCATGTAAACCCAACAGTTTAGTGAATATAGAGAATGAATCCAGATGTGGGGAGCTGGGTGTGAGAGCATTTCTAAACTCAGGGCTCGGTGCCTCTCACAGATTTGAGTGTTTGTGCTGAACCGGACAAGCAGAAATAACGAAGCTTCATCTCTGGGCGCAGATTCGATGTTGTTTTAACCTCAGTAAAAGAATAAATGGGGTGCACTGGAGCGGGGAGCGGCCCTCCAGCCATCCAAAGAAAAACTCAGGCCTGAGAATGGATCAGATGTTCCCTCGAGTCTGGTTAATGTAGTGAGTCCGTCTTAAAACTTCTGGGTCATTTCACCGAACTACAACCTTCAGATGAGATGGAATCGAGCCCCAAAAGTTACAGGAACAAGCAGGAAAGCCCTCCAGAAGCCGCTTCCAGCTCAGAGCTGATTAAAAAGCACAAATAAACAGCTCTGGGGAAAAGAAAAGGAACTTTAGATCAGGTCTATGGACCCATTTAACATCATGACGGAGAGGTTTCCCACTTTTTTAGCTTCACCAGAAAAGAAGGAAAAACGCTTAGAAATCGTACATTCACTCCTTTTATTTGAACTTTCACAACTCCCGACTATGGAAGGTGGCGGGGAAACCGCTGAAGGCAACAGAACCCGTCCCGGGACAGCTCGGCCTCGGGGGGTAAATTTAGGACGTGGACCGTCTCCTGCCCGCCTCTCTCACCCTGCCTCCAGTTGGCAGAGAGCCTCTAACACATGACCTGAGAGGCAATGGTACACATTTAGAACTCGCGGCTTATTCCTAATTCACGGGCGGAGGGCGTCGCCCCTCAGCCGGAGCACCCGGCGACCTTTGACCTCCCGGGATCAAAGCAAAGACGCCCGCAGACACACGAGACGGGACGTAACCGGCAGCTATAATTAGCCCCGGATTACGTCCCTGTGAATCCAGCTGTGGTGGAAACAGGCTCCGCTCTTTAGCCAGCAGACTTTACACAGCTGTGCTCCCACAGAAGCAGAAAACAGGACAAAAGAACGAGAGAACGTGTGAAGACCTGAGCCCGTCTGTAGGCGGAGCAGGCGGAAAGAAGGAGGGGGGGACTCGTCTTGTCAGTGTGGACACATTTATTTCTGATTTTCCCAGATCGAGACAAACAAACTTTCAAATTCCAACACTTTTAGGCACCATGCAAAACAGCTTTTTCCCAAAAAAAAGAAAGAAAAGAAAAAAAAAAAAGACATGCCTGGAGTTTTATCGAGAAAAAAATAGTAATGTCAACAAATTACTGGAATTTATTCAGTGTTTCTTTGATAGAAGGAAAGACAACAATGGGCAGGCAGCAGTAACGTTAATACTGAGAGATCGGTCGGAGGTTTTCTGGGTTTTTTTGGGTCTCGTAGAGGGTCTTACTCTGCCTTCTCGTAGCGGCGTGTGCTGACCACGTTCCCCATTGTGAGCGTCTACGGCAAAAGGAGAAAAGGAAGGTCAGAAAACACCAAGTTGACCAATGGCTGTGAGAGGTCAGAGGTCAGAGACGTACCAGCGTCAGGTTGTTTCCAGAGACTTCCCGGACCAGACTGGTCTCTTTGCCCTCCCACCGCTGCACGTGGATCAATTTCCCACCATCGACCGTCACAAGGGACTAGAGGAGGGAAAGAAAAACATAAAAAACATAAAAAACAGTTAGACAGAGTTAATAAACCAGGAACAGAGTGGAACAGAAGTCAGAGAAATGCGTTGCTTCTGAGCTCGACTGCTTCCTTTGCTAATTTCATCCTATTTTACAGCCCGTTTATGCTCACAGGACGATTTTGTAGTTATTTCCCCAGATTACAGTTTTAAATCCTGCTGAAACGGACAAGCGGAAAACAGCCACAATCGATCCCAGCTCAGCAAACTCAGCCAAATCCTGCATTTCTTCTGAGGCTTATCAGCCGTCTTTGAACTCCACGAAGGGTCAAACTTGACTCTCTGATCAGTCATTATCTGTAGAAGAGGTTTCAAGCCGGCTGGTTTTTATTTAAAATTACAACCTCCAAAAAAGCACTTAAATGGGATTAATGACTCATTTTACAACTGTGTATTTGCGGCTTTATGTAAATCTCAGGATTCCAGATCTTTTATTGATTTACAGTTTAAAATAAACACTCATTTTCCCATTAAGGCTCTTTATTTTGGTTAATGATCTCTATGAAACTCAAGGTTTTCTCTAACTTTAAGGTCACAGACGCCTCAGGAAGCCCGCGCACTTCTGCTCAAAAGAGTTTTTGACTCATCGGAGACCGAAAAGAATCAAAGTTTCAGTGCAAGCTGAGAATCACCTGAACGGTTGGAAACTTTTTGCACATCCACAGAATTCTGACAAGACGAAACATGAAGCACGCAAAGAAAAAAGATCCACCTCCCACGTTTAAACAGAGAAAACAAAAGAAGCCTGGATCCTAATGGAGCCGTCAGTCTCTCTGGCTGACCGCTGACCCCTGACCTCTCACCTTAACCTTCCTGTCGTCGGCGGTGGTCTCGTCGAACTCCTCTCCGAGCTTGAAGGAGAGCTCCGTGTTCTTGATGGTGCTCTGAGTCTTCACCGTCACCGTGTCGCCGTCCACGGAGATGATGGTGGTGGGTTTGGTCATGTTGCCCACCTTACGGGTCGCAAAGCCCACTCCTGGACAGAGAAAACGAGCAGCAGGTTAAGAATTAACGTGATAGATATAAATGTAAATAACCAATCCGGGAGGATTTTCTGATGACATCTATAATAATGTCCCATAGGCTTGTCCTGATCTGATATTTGGATCGGAACGGCCAATCCAGACTCCAGATTTAGTTTTTTTTAAGGCCGATCCCACACGAACATTAGCATTAGCATTAGCCAACCCACAGGTCTGTGTCCTAACCATTAAGTTATCAGAGTAAATCCCTGTTCAACATGAGTCTGACAACTAAGTAAGTAGATAAATAACTTTAAACTTTAATACATGCTCTGATAGGCCGGGATCAGATCAGAAGTGAAAAAAGCTGGATCGGGACATCCCGAATGTCTACAGTGTTTAGTGGTTTGTTTGGTCCTGAGCTCGTCACCCTTTTGTTAACAGCTAATGGGGATCTTTAACTATAAACACAATGAGACGGAGACGTTTATGGAGCTGCTGCTTTCCCCTTGAAGGGGGACTCACAAATGTGAAGGCTGGAGTCCTGAGTCAGGTGCCAACACACCACAATACGCACACATTTACATATCTGAGGGCTAAATCTGCCCTTTAAAACGGAGGGAAAAAATAAATAAAGGGCTCATAAAGCTGAAATGGAGCATGAATGTCAGTGGCTGCTTCGAGGAATAAATCTGATTGCGAATTTGAACCGTAAAACTTTTACCACCAGCCTTTGGGTGCTTGATGCTTTGATGGTTTACAGACTAAATGTGAGATCTGCTGATACAAGTTCAGAGCAGGAGCAGTGGATCTGCCCCCCGGCTCCAGTGACAGACTCTAATCTGTGTTTGTCTGCTATCAG